TGGAGTCCAACCTGCTGCAAGTGCTGAGCCACCGTGCAGTGATTTCCCACTCTGCCCAAAGTGTGGACTTTTCCCAATTCCTGGGAACTCTTTTGTATCCCGAAAACAAATATCTGATGGCCTGCTTCAAACCTAGCTCTAAGGGTTTTATCACACCAAACCCTTGTCAGGTTCAGCAAAAGGACACATAGAAGACAGTTCTCCTTTGTGCGCCCTGTCTACACCATAACGCTGCCTTGCGGTGTGCTGCGTAAAATGCAGCATGTCTTAAGAAGCACAGTGTATAGGGCACTGCATGTCGCCTCAGCACGGCTCATAACCTAGTGGTGCATAGAGTCAATACATTAAAAAAAAAAAAATACATAACACCGTGCCTTGTAACAAATCATTCCACAGCCTTTTACATTGAACACCAGAGCACAGGCCTAATATGGAGCATAACGCCTGTGGGTTGGTGTGATCGAACTCCTTTACATAAATAAACCTTTTAATATAATAAGGTAGAGCCTCTCAACGTGTGTAATAGCTAAAGGCTATTTTATCTAAATTACTTAAAAACACTGCTTCTGTCTTATGTATGTATGTGTGTGTGTGTGTGTGTGTGTGTGTGTATATATATATATATACATACATATTACAGTGGGGATCGAAATATATATAATATACAGTGGGGATCGAAAGTTTGGGCACCCCAGCTAAAAATTTGTATTAATGTGCATAAAGAAGCCAAGGAAAGATGGAAAAATCTCCAAAAGGCATCAAATTACAGATTAGACATTCTTATAATATGTCAACAAAAGTTAGATTTTATTTCCATCATTTACACTTTCAAAAATAACAGAAAACAAAAAAATGGCGTCTGCAAAAGTTTGGGCACCCTGCAGAATTTATAGCATGCACTGGCCCCTTTGCCAAGCTGAGACCTGCCAGTGTCATGGATTGTTCTCAATCATCGTCTGGGAAGACCAGGTGATGTCAATCTCAAAGGTTTTAAATGCCCAGACTCATCTGACCTTGCACCAACAATCAGCACCATGGGTTCTTCTAAGACGTTGTCTAGAAAACTGAAACTGAAAATAGTTGACGCTCACAAAGCTGGAGAAGGCTATAAGAAGATAGCAAAGCGTTTTCAGATGTCAATATCCTCTGTTCGGAATGTAATTAAGAAATGGCAGTCATCAGGAACAGTGGAAGTTAAAGCAAGATCTGGAAGACCAAGAAAAATATCAGACAGAACAGCTCGCAGGATTGTGAGAAAAAAACAATTCAAAACCCACGTTTGACTGCACGATCCCTCCAGAAAGATCTGGCAGACACTGGAGTTGTAGTACACTATTCCACTATAAAGAGATACTTGTACAAATATGGTCTTCATGGAAGAGTCATCAGAAGAAAACGTCTTCTACGTCCTCACCACAAAAATCATCGTTTGAACTTTGCAAATGAACATATAGACGAGCCTGATGCATTTTGGAAACAAGTTCTGTGGACCGATGAGGTTAAAATTGAACTTTTTGGCCGGAATGAGCAAAGGTACGTTTGGAGAAGAAGGGGCACAGAATTTAATGAAAAGAACCTCTGTCCAACTGTTAAGCATGGGGTTGGATCAATCATGCTTTGGGGTTGTGTTGCAGCCAGTGGCACAGGGAACATCTCACGAGTAGAAGGAAAAATGGATTCAATAAAATTTCAGCAAATTTTGGATGGTAACTTGATGCCATCTGTGAAAAAGCTGAAGTTAAAGAGAGGATGGCTTCTACAAATGGATAATGACCCTAAACACACCTCGAAATCCACGGGGGATTACATCAAGAGGCGTAAACTGAAGGTTTTGCCATGGCCTTCACAATCTCCTGACCTCAACATAATTGAAAATCTATGGATAGACCTTAAAAAAGCAGTGCGTGACAGACAGCCCAGAAATCTCAAAGAACTGGAAGACTTTTGTAAGGAAGAATGGGCAAAGATACCTCAAACAAGAATTGAAAGACTCTTGGCTGGCTACAAAAAGCGTTTACAAGCTGTGATACTTGCCAAAGGGGGCAGTACAAGATATTAACTCTGCAGGGTGCCCAAACTTTTGCAGACGCCATTTTTTTTGTTTTCTGTTATTTTGAAAGTGTAAATGATGGAAATAAAATCTAACTTTTGTTGACATATTATAAGAATGTCTAATCTGTAATTTGATGCCTTTTGGAGATTTTTCCATCTTTCCTTGGCTTCTTTATGCACATTAATACAAATTTTTAGCTGGGGTGCCCAAACTTTCGATCCCCACTGTGTGTATATATATATATATATATATATATATATATATATATATATATACACACACACACACACTCACACATTAGATTGCCAAAAGTAGTGGGACCCCTGCCTTTATCTGCAAGGTTCAATATTGAGTTGGCCCTTCCTTTGCAGCTATAACAGCTTCAACTCTTCTGGGAAGGCTGTCCACAAGGTTTAGGAGGGTGTCTATGGGAAGGTTTGACCATTCTTCCAGAAGCACATTTGTGAGGTCAGGCACTGATGTCGGACGAGAAGGCCTGGCTCACAGTCTCCGCTCTAATTCATCCCAAAGGTATTCTATCGGGTTGAGGTCAGGACTCTGTGCAGGCCAGTCACGTTCCTCCACCCCAAACTGGCTCATCCATGTCCTTATGGGCATTGCTTTGTGCACTGGTGCGCAGTCATGGAACAGGAAGGGGCCATCCCCAAACTGTTCCCACAAAGTTGGAAATTGTTCAAAATGTCTTGGTATGCTGACGCCTTTAGAGTTCCCTTCACTGGAACTAAGGGGCCAAGCCCAAACCCTGAAAAACAACCCCACACCATAATCCCCCCTCCACCAAACTTTACACTTGGCACAATGCAGTCAGGAAAGTACCATTCTCAAGGCAACTGCCTAACCCAGACACATCCATCGGATTGCCAAACAGAGAAGCATGATTCGTCTCTCCAGAGAACACGTCTCCACTGCTCTAGAGTCCAGTGGCAGCATGCTTTACACCACTGCATCCGACACTTTGCATTGCACTAGGTGATGTAAGGCTTGGATGCAGTTGCTCGGACATGGAAACCCATTCCATGAAGCTCTCTATGCACTGTTGTTGTACTAATCTGAAGGCCACACAAAGTCTTTAGCTATTGACTCTGCAAACAGCTGGAGACTTCTGCGCACTGTGCTCTTCAGCATGCACTGACCCCGCTCTGTCATTTTATGTGACCTACCACTTTGTGGCTGAGTTGCTGTTGTTCCCAGTTGCTTCCACTTTGTTATAGTACCACTAACAGTTGACCGTGGAATATTTAGTAGCAAGGAAATTTCACGGATGGACTTATTGCACAGGTGGCAACCTATCATGGACCAAACTTGGAGCCACTGAGCTCCTGAGAGCGACCCATTCTTTCACAAGTGTTTGTAGAAGCAGTCTGCATGCCTAGGTGCTTGATTTTATACACCTGTGGCCATGGAGGTGATTGGAACACCTGAATCCAATGATTTGGAGGGGTGTCTTAATACTTTTGGCAATATAGTGTGTGTGTGTGGTTTTTTTTTTTTTTTTTGTTACTGTTTTAAATCATCATACAAATATATATTTGAAAACAAATCTTTATTTTTTGGCAATAACATGGCGTGGGCGAATTTCTGCCACATGTAGTTAAGTTTGACACCTTTTCTGAGAAAAATGACTGGCTCTTACTCTTGATCTCTTTCCTATTAATAACATTGATCACAATGTCCCATTTTTACTGGCCAGGTCAGTACATTACTGGCCAGATGGCAACCCTTTGTGCATTCTGTCCTCTCTGCCTTTCATGTTTCCAATCCCTTAATTGCAGGGAAAAAAAGGGGGGCCTTTTGGACCATGTGGTGGCTAAAGGGGGTTACCACAAGTCCTCCTGTATGGGGCTCAGGCCAGCAGAGGCTATACAGGGGATCGGTTCCAGTAATTGCACCACCCTCCCTTCCCCGCCACACTGATCACCATTCCTGCAGTGCTGCTGGTTTCCCTCCTCTCCTTTTCACCTTCAAGATAGAGAGTGGGGGAAGGGTCCAGGAAATATGTCACATTTATCGACCCCTTCCTTTCCTGAATGAATTACAATAAGTAATCGGCACCGATCACTCACTGTGTTCATTCATAACTGCGGAATAATAAACTGTGTTTATTTGGGGGGGGGGCCCTGTTAGGCCAGCTGTATAGGGCCCCGTGGTTTCTAACAGCACCTCTGATGACAAGTCAGGGGACGCAACCATGAAAGAAAAGTGGCTTTGTAGGGGTTAGACCGGTTATCACTACGGAACTGGTGAGGAGGAACCTTGTGAGACCCTGGAGTAAGATAAGTAATTCTTTCTGTTGTATCCTCTCGAGATTTATAGGTCAATATTATAGTGGGCACACCAATATACAATTTTTTCTAAGCTGACTGGAGTTCAGCTTTTCATTTTGATTGGGTGTTTGAAGGGAACACCCGGTAGGTCAGTAAGCATAGGATCAGTTAAAAATCTTGTGCTTTTGGTGTTCTATGAGGGTATCCGCATTGGCAGTCCCCATTTCCTTCTCTGTTTGTTTCCAAAAGCCAATCTTGAGGCAAACCACTAAATGCACAGTTTAAACTGATGTATTATTGTTTTCCTTGGCATAGGTTTTGAAATCTGCTTTAGCCAGGTTTGAGCGCCAGCTTTTCTCTACTGTAGTTGAGCAGTATAGCATGGTCAACAACCTAACGCTCAGTCTGCTTATTGAAGAATGAAGGAACAACAGCACACTGGTCATCTTAGTGCTGTCCCTCCTGTAAGTATGTTCACAACGTTAGATTGACAGCATTTAGAAAAGCAGTAAGCCTCTTTGGCTGTCTATCCATTCCCCAAGCTGAATCCAGAGCATTACAAAATGCAGATAGTTATACAATATAAATAAGTTTATTAAAATGTTAATTTTTTTTTTTAATAAGCAGATAGAATTTTTTTGACATTTCATCTTAAATTTTAGGATTCGGCAGGCTGGCCTGAAGTTGCGCTTTTGCACAAATGAGTCGCAGGCCACACGGAGTCAATTTGTTTGTAAACTGCAGAGATTTGGCTTCAGCATTTCTGAAGAAGAGGTTACTGCTCCTGGCCCTGCAGCGAAAAGGCTAGCGCAAGAACGGGGACTGAGGCCACATTTGCTGGTCCATAATGGTAATATACTTCTCTGTCCTCAAACAAGCTTTCTAAACACACATTTACTTACTGTATATTCACTCTATGAAATGTTAGGTACTAAGGATCTGGCCTCCAAATGTATTTGTCTTACTTTGAACAGGAACATCAACATGTGTGCTCCTTTAAGCTGGCCATACACGTAAAGATTTCTCTCTTTCAGCCCAATTGGCTGCATAGATTCACAGAAATCTGCCAAAATTTGAGCCATGTATGGCCATCTTTATAAGTGTGCTTATCTCTGCACTGTGAGTGTAGAGCAATGGAGGATTAGCAGACAATTTTCTACCTCACCAATCCAACATTTAATCTGAGAACAGAGCTTCAGGAAAGTCTGTGATGGTCATTCTTGACAAGGTAGAGCTGAATTCCAGCTTTATTAAAGCATATTTCCTCTGGTACTTGGGAAAACCCCACTACATGTTTGTTATATGTTCCCATGCTCACAGCATGCCAGCTTATTGAGTTTTTTAATCAAAATTAGGTCACAGTGCTTATCACCCTCTGAAAAGCAATCCACTTTTAATGGGGCAGTAGCACAACGGCTCACAGCCATTTGGAAGGCACTGCTGCTTTCTCCTAACTCCTGTTCTTTTTTTTTTCTGAGACGATGCTGCAACTGTGAGCCAAGCATTTGGCTTGTGGTTGCAGTGTGGCTCCACTGATCTCAATGGGGGAGTTTGACAGTCAGTGCTGTCTGTCAAACTCTGCAGCCCGAGTTAAAAATGCCACAACCACAGCAGGTATACAGCCCTGTCAGGCTGTAATGTTAGAATTCGGGTGGGTGGCCAAAGAAAGGGGTGGAGGGTCGATAAAGCCTCAGCTCAGCTGCCTATTTTTACCACTCCCATGGCCATCTGTGTGAAAGAGCCCTTAGAGTGAGCCTGTCCCAAATCTGCCTGCATTAACATCAATTGCATGAAGACCAGCCTCTAAGCCATTGACCCTTTGTTAGGACAGACGATGTTCAAACTGAGTTATAATTGATCATGAAGATCTGCCTGCACAGTACAGATAGGGTTAATTATGACTAACACAACTGCCCAGCCCCCTCATAAACAAGAAGAGTTACCTAGGATTTTCCTTGCTGGAGGATTTAAAATAAAGCATTTACAAAAAGGTAAACTGCAATTTTTAAACTTTTTTTTTTTATTAAGCTATGCTATGTTAGTGGGAACACATAACAAATACAAAGTAGGTGTTCTCTGAATTGGTCTGAAGAAAAGCAGAAATGAACTTTAAACCACTTTATTTTATCAGCTGTGTTGTATATCACACATCTGTCCATCTTTGGGTGCTTTAGCAGTGACTTCCTCCCTTCTCACAGATCTGCTCCCGGAGTTTGACTCCATTGATATGTCTCAGCCTAACTGTGTTGTGATTGGAGATGCAGCTGAAAACTTTTCCTATCAGAATGTGAATGCAGCGTTTAATGTGCTGATCGGCCTAGAGAAGCCGGTTCTCATATCTCTGGGAAGGGGTGAGTGCTTTGTATTTTGCTTTCTCACAGTTGTAGGACTCGCACAAATAAATATGCAGTGCTTAACTTGTACCAAGAACACTCTCTTGTAACAAAGAACTCTTGTATAAAATCAACTGTATATCAAGTGATGTTAAGGCCCTTTCATATGAGTGTTCAGTGTGGATCCATCCAAGACCAGATTTATACCTTGGGGGGCCCCTTATACACATTGTTGGTTTACATTATCCACTTTCGGATGGCAATGTACTGCGGGTGGGTGGGCGGCCTGTACAGATACAGTGATGTACCTGCACATCGCTAGCCTCATCCAGGTAAAAGGCACGCATGCACATGCTCCCGCCCACTTACTCCCACTGTGATTGCACACAGCGGGTTTTTGTTAGCAGTTCCCTGCCAATGATTCATGGCTGGGACCTGCTGATCAGCTGTGTCCATTCACAGCCCAGAGCCCTGTGTTGACAATCACCACAGGGTTCTGTACAGAGGGAACAAATATGTCTGTTTCTTCTCCCTGCAAAGCAGGGAGAAGAAACAAAGATTTTTAGTAACAATCAGCACACATTACACAAATTAACATTTGTTATGCACACACTTAATCTCTCCATTACCTCAGATGGTGACCCCTCCGTAGTCAGTGTCATTAGTACAGTGACAATGTATAGTAGTATCACTGTATTAGTGTCACTGGTGATATCAGTAAGTCAGTTCCCACCCAGTGTCAGTTGGTGCTTGCCAGTTTGGTTGATTGCCAGCCACACTATCACAATCCCACTATAAGTCGCTGATCACCAGCATTAGTAGTATAAAAAATAAAAATTCCAGTACATATAACATAATTTGTAGACATTAACCTTCACGCAAAACAATCAATGTATACTTATTGGAATTTTTTTTGTTACCAAAGACATGTAGCAGAATACATTTTGGCCTAAAATTATGAAGAATTTTTTTTTTTTTTCTATTGGACATGTTTTATAGCAGAAAGTAAAAAAATACAGTTTTTCTTTAAATTTCCAGTCTTTTTTTGTTTATATAATAAAAAATAAAAGCCTAAAAGCAAGTTCTATTTGTGTGAAAAGATTATATAAATTTAGTTTGGGTACAGCATTGCATGACCGCGCAATTACCAGTTAAAGTTGTGCAGTGCTAAATAGCAAAAAATCGCCTAGTCATGAAAGGGGTAAAACCTGACACTTTGCTACAATGTAAAGTAGTGAGTGTACAGCTTGTATAACAGTGTAAATTTGCTGTCCCCTCAAAATAACTCAACACACAGCCATTAATGTCTAAACCGCTGGTAACAAACGTGAGTACACCCCTAAGTGAAAATGTCTAAATTGGGCCCAAGTAGCCATTTTCCCTCCCCGGTGGCATGTGACTCATTAGTGTTACAAGGTCTCGGGTGTGAATGGGGAGCAGGTGTGTTAAATTTGATATCACTCTTACTGTCCCATACTGGTCACTGGAAGTTCAACATGGCACCACATGGCAAAGAACTCTCTGAGGATCTGAAAAAAAGAATTGTTGCTCTATATAAAGATGGCCTAGGCTATAAGAAGATTGCCAAGACCCTGAAACTGAGCTGCAGCATGGTGGCCAAGACCATACAGTGGTTTAACAGGACAAGTTCCACTCAGAAAAGGACTCGCCATTGTCAACCAAAGAAGTTGGAGTGCACGTGCTCAGCGTCCAGAAGTTGTCTTTGGGAAATAGACGTATGAATGCTGCCAGCAATGCTGCAGAAGTTGAAGGGGTGGGGGGCAACCTGTCAGTGCCCAGACCATACACCGCACACTGCATCAAATTGGCCTGCATGGCTGTCGTCCCAGAAGGAAGCCTCTTCTAAAGATGATACACAAGAAAGCCTGCAAACAGTTTGCTGAAGACAAGCAGACTAAGGACATGGATTACTAGAACCATGTCCTGTGGTCTGATGACACCAAGATAAACTTATTTGGTTCAGATGGTGTCAAGCGTGTGTGGTGGCAACCAGGTGAGGAGTACAAAGACAAGTGTGTCTTGCCTACAGTCAAGCATGGTGGTGGGAGTGTCATGGTCTGGGGCTGCATGAGTGCTGTCGACACTGGGAAACTACAGTTCATTGAGGGAACCATGAATGTCAACATGTTCTGTGACATACTGAAGCAGAGCATGATCTCCTCCCTTCAGAGACTGGGCCGCAGGGCAGTATTCCAACATAATGACCCCAAACACACCTCCAAGACGACCACTGCCTTGCTAAAGAAGCTGAGGGTAAAGGTGATGGACTGGCCAAGCATGTCTCCAGACCTAAAACCCTATTGAGCATCTGTGGGGCATCCTCAACTGGAAGGTGGAAGAGTGCAAGATCTCTAACATCCACCAGCTCGGTGATGTCATCATGGAGGAGTGGAAGAGGACTCCAGTGGCAACCTGTGAAGCTCTGGTGAACTCCATACCCAAGAGGGTTAAGGCAGTGCTGGAAAATAATGGTGGCCACTCAACATATTGACACTTTGGGCTCAATTGGACATTTCCCTTAGGGGTGTACTCACTTTTGTTGCCAGCAGTTTAGACATTAATGGCTGTGTGTTGAGTTATTTTGAGGGGACAGCAAATTTACACTGTTATACAAGCTGTACACTCACTACTTTACATTGTAGCAAAGTGTCATTTCTTCAGTGTTGTCACATGAAAAGATATAATAAAATATTTTCAAAAATGTGAGGGGTGTACTCACTTCTGTGAGATCCTGTGTTTTTGAATTGCTTTATATTATTTTTGTATAGGGGGGCCCTTCTGTCAAGGGGGCTCAGGGCAGTTGCCCTTTTCGCTCCTTTATAAATCTGTGACTGGATCTGTCTTTCAATTTCAGTTGGATCCAGACTGAACCACTATGTACTGTATATCTATTGGTGGGCGCACGTCTGTTTACTTCCACTTACATCCAAGTTAGTTTATGTTTGTAGAAAAAACAGAAAAGGTCTGCTTGCTCCTTCTTTTTTTCCTTTTTTTTTTTTTTTTTTTTTTTTTAATATAAACTGATGTAACTGGACATCTCTTCCATTTATCTCTGATTTTAGACAAGAAATATTTTTTTTTAAATATACTTTTTTACCACCGATGACTTGTTTTTCACCAACAATTAAAGCCTAAGTTTACCTAAAAACAACCAAAAAAATCAGCAAAGGGGACATTACTTATCTTCAGTGAGATATGTTCATTGTGCTGTTGTGTCTTCCTTATGTCAAAATCTTCCCCTTCCAAAGCCCCCCACCCACCTCCACCACTTCAACCTTTTGGTGTTGCAGGGGTTAATAACACTAAGGGGCTATTACAGGCACTCATTAAGAGTTCATAGGAGCCATACTACAGCTTCCAATGAATGAAACAGAATCATGGAATGAAGAGCGGAGGATGATTGATAGCTCTGCCCTCTCCATTCACCCACGATCCATCGATCACCGTTTCAATGCTTTGCAGACACCTATGCAAAAAAATTATAAATGCACATTTTCCCTCAAATATGGGTGTATTTATTTATTTATTTTGCAGATGGTGGACTCAGCCTTTAATCAGAGCACCCTGTATCCATTACAGATAAGGGTGCTCTGACAATGCACAAGGGTGCTCACGTTCTAAAACACAATACCACTCAGCACTATACCTACGACAGGAAAGCTTGCATCCAGCTATCATTCCCTTTGGAACCAACACATCTGTCTCTTCAATTCATTCCAATGCATGACTTTAGCAGGAGTGTACTTTTAAAGCCTAAGTTTAGTTGAAATGTAAAAAAAATCAGCATTAATGTGAATTGTCCCTTGTGCTTCTGGCTGGTCTCTTAGTTTAAATTCAAATTCCTCTGAACCCCCCCCACCACCCTCTACCTCCTCATATGTCTACAGCCATGACCCTCTCGTGCTGTGGGGGGGTACTGGGTAGTGGGCCTGTTACAGGCCCTTATTAGGAGTGCTGGCTATGCCCACCCTTCTCCGCCCCTCATCCATTCATAGAACTATATATAATATTAATTGAAATGCAATCTGTGAGTGGAGGATGGATGGATGAATGAAAAGTCTGCCTCCTCCATTCATAATTACTTTTCATTGATGGAAGTTATAGTACAGCTTCTATAAGTGAAGCACAGAGGAAGGGGGGGGAAAGAGTGGGCATAAACAAAACTCTTGACAGGTGCCTATGACAGGTCCAGGTGATCAAATTCACCCTCACAGCATGTTGGGATGGCAATTGTGGGGATATGCAAGTAGGGCAAAGGACTTCCACCTTCAGCTTAGAGACTTGCCAGCAGTAGAGGGAACACTTCTCACTTAAAAAAAAAAACAAAAAAAACTTAGACTTAGTTTTTTTGTGGGTGTAGAGATGTTTGGATGACCTAATATTTACTTTGGTAACCCATCCTTTATGTTCAGTGCTTTTGTGATCCACCAGTCAGTTGTCGGGCATACTGGTGTCAGTAAAGAATCTTCCACCGAAAGACTTGTGAAAGTAGCATTTTGAGGTCACAACACTTTAGAGCAATGAACATAAGCAGCAGGGATGCTGAAAGGTACTGTATATAACTTCCTCTCATCACCCACTCCCAAAAAAAAGTGTTCATTCAGTAAACCCTCCTTTGAATAACGAAAATATGTGCATCTGTCATCAATTCCCGTGCAAAGACATCCTCCATCATATATCTGCTCACCTCACGCAGTGTGACCTCACTTTATACAATGTTACGGTCTAACTGCACTTTGGGTCCCATATGGACTCAGAAGATCAGCTTGCTGAATGAAGACTCCAAAGTAAGCTCCCTCCTGATAAGCGTCTTTGTATCAGCCGTATTCCTCATTAAAAAGAACTCAACATAGTGCTTTATCCTTATAAACTTTTATTCATCAATTTAAACATATGAAATACACTCACGTTCCGGAGGTGTATTTTGCACCAGGTATGATGAAGATCCAGTGATGTACTGATCAAACACAAGATGGCAGTATCATCTCAGCAGCAGA